CTGCTTATATTGAAATTCTGGAGGAGGCACTGTCTGGTTTCCATAGAGTTCAGCAGATTGGTTTGACCAGGTGTGTTATTTACGTAGCCCATGAAAAAAACTGACCCTCCCAACTTAGCCCTTTAATATGAAAATGCAGATTGCCACAATATTTCAAAAACATGGTGTTATCTGGAGTTGCCGCGACACTTGGTATACCCGGTGACAAGGAAAAGACGGCGGGAATCACCATATTGAGTAAACCCTGTTTCTAATGGCTGGCAACTGCATATCAAAGCTTGCTGGCCTGCCCCTTCAAGCTACTTTTTCTGTTAGATTTCATATGGAATCAAAAAATAAGATTTCATATGGAATCTTAAATTTCATATAGAATCAAAAAAGAGCCCACATAGCCAAGAGAATTCTAAGAAAAAAAAAAAAAACAAAAAACAAAAAACAAAAAAAACGAAGCTGGAGGTATCACACTACCTGACTTCAAACTATACTACAGCCTACACTAATCAAAACAGCATGTACTAGTACCAAAACAGAGATATAGACCAATGGAACAGAACAGAGGCCTCAGAAAGAATGCCACACATCTACAACCATCTCATCTTTGCAAATCCTGACAAAAACAAGCAATGGGGAAAGGATTCCCTATTTAATAAATGGTGTTTGCAGAACTAGCTAGCCATATGCAAAAAACTGAAACTGGATCCCTTCCTTACATCTTATACAAAAATTAACTCAAGATGGATTAAAGATTTAAATGTAAGGCCTAAAACCATAAAAACCTTAGAAAAAAACCTAGGCAATATCATTCAGGACATAGGCATGGGCAAAGACTTCATGAATAAAACACCAAAAGCAATGGCAACAAAAGCCAAAATAGGCAAATGGGATCTAATTAAACCAAAGAGCTTCTGCACAGAAAAAGAAACTATCATCAGAGTAAACAGGCAACCCACAGAATGGGATAAAATTTTTGCAGTCCACCCATCTGACAAAGGGCTAATATCCAGAACCTACAGAGAACTGAAACAAATTTACAAGAAAAAAACAACCTCTTCAAAAAGTGGGTGAAGGATATGAACAGACACTTCTCAAAGAAGACACTTATGCAGCCAACAAGCATATGAAGAAAAGCTCATCATCACTGGTCATTAGAGAAATGCAAATTAAAACCACATCTAGATACCATCTCATGCCACTTAGAATGGCGATCATTAAAAAGTCAGGAGACAACAGATGCTTGACAGGATGTGAAGAAATAGGAATGCTTTTACACTGTTGGTGGGAGTGTAAATTAGTTCAACGATTGTAGAAGACAGTATGGCAATTCCTCAAGAATCTAGAACTAGAAATACCATTTGACCCAGCAATCCCATTACTAGGTATATACCCAAAGAGTTATAAATCACTCTATTATAAAGACATATGCACACATATGTTTATTGTGGCACTGTTCACAATAGTAAAAACTTGGAACCAACCCAAATGTCCATCAATGATAGACTGGATAAAGAAAATGTGGCACATATATATCATGGAGTACAATGAAGCCATATAAAAGAATGAGTTCATGTCCTTTTTAGGGACATGGATGAGCTGGAATTCATCATTCTAGCAAACTAATGCAAGAATAGAAAACCAAACACCTCATGTACTCACTCATAAGTGAGAGTTGAACAATGAGAACACATGGACACAGGAAGGAGAACATCACATAATGGGGACTGTTGGTGGGGGGCACAGGGGGATAGCATTAGGAGAAATACCTAATGTAGATGATGGGATGATGGATGCAGCCAACCACCATGGCACATGTATATGTATGTAACAAACCTGCATGTACTGCATATGTATCCCAAAACTTAAAGTACAATTTTTTTTTTAAAAAAAGAGTAACAATGGCAGGTACTACTTTGTAGAGTGTAAATCTTGGACACAGATGGATGCAAGGCAAACTCTTTGGTCAGAGCACACACTGTCCATTCTCACTGATGACCTCACCTTCAGCCTCTAGGATCAAGTTTTCTATAAAGGGTTTATAGTCACTGATGATAAAACTGAAGAGCAAATTTTTTAAAAAGAGAGAGGAAAAGGGGAGGAAGAAAGGGAATTCTAATACATTCCATCTTTAAATTCTAACACAGGTTTTAAGGATGCTTCTTCTCATCACAAAAAGAAAAAAGAAAAAAAAAAAACTCAAAGAGGGGTCCTGAGGCATCTGTCCCAGGTGAAGAAGACTGCATTAAGGCTGAAGTTTTATCACCTGTAACTGCCTCTGTCCTCACAGAGGTTTGGAACTCACATGTAAATCCAGGACTAGACTTAAGAATCTAACCTTTTTGCCTGAATCTCCAGGAGAAACAATGTCACTGAAATGTTGATTCACATGAACCTCCCAGAAAGAAAGGAGGAGTTGCAGCTAGAGCCCAGGTGTGTGAGAGACAGAAGGGAGTAGCCCACAACTGGCAGAGACAAGGGCTTTGTGACGGGGGAGGAGACAAGGAATTTTTTAACCTCTTTCCACAGGTCCTGCTCTCCCAGAAAGATATAAGGGCCGGTGCTCTCCCAGAAACTCTTGAAACAAAGAGAAGGATTACCTTCTAGGTAAGGATTACTTTACCCAACACTTTTCTCCAGAATCCCCATTTTTTTCTTTTTTTAATATTGCACAAGTTAGGACAATGTACACCTTCTAGGTGGATTCTGCACAGTGCAGAAAAGGCTTATAAATTATAAAAAACTATTTTAAAATGCACATGGAACCAAAAATGAGTTGAATAACCAAGACAATTCTAAGCAAAAAGAACAAAGACGGAAACATCACATTACCCAACTTCCAACTGTACTACAAGGCCACATAACCAAACAGCACGGTACTGGTACAAAAACAGGTCCATAGACCAGTGGAACAGAACAGAGAGCCCAGAAATAAGGTCGCACACCTACAACCATCTCATCTTTGACTAAATCAACCAAACAAGCAATGGAAAAAGGACTTCTGATTCAAGACATGGCATTGGGATAACTGGCTAGCTATATGCAGATGATTGAAAGTGAACCCCTTCCTTGCATTATGTAGAAAAATCAACTAAAGATGGATTAAAGACTTAAATGTAAAACCCAAAACTATAAGAAACCTGGAAGACTACCCAGGCAATACCATTCTGAATATAGGAATGGGCAAAAGTTTCATGACAAAAATGCCAAAAGCAGTAACAAGAAAAACAAAAATTGACAAATGGATCTATTTAAATTAAAGAGCTTCTGCACAGCAATGGAAACTATCAACAGAGACAACAGACAACCTACAGAATGGGAGATGACATTTGCAAATGATTTATCTGAAAATGGTCTAATATCTAGCATCTATAAAGAATTTTAACAACTTTTCAAGAAAAAAAAAAAACCATAAAAAAGTGGGCAAAGGAATGGGCACAGTGGCCCACAGTAATTCCAGCAGTTTGGGTGGCTGAGGCAATCGGATGGCTTGAGCCCAGGAGATCAAGACCAGCCTGGGCAACATGGCAAAACCTTGTTCCTACGAAAAATAGAAAAATTAGCTGGGTGTTCTTACACACACACACCTGTAATCCCAGCTACTAGGAGGCTGAGCTGGGAGGATCGCCTGAGCCCAGTTTGCACCACTGCACTTCAGCCTAGGTGTCAGAATGAGACCCTGTCTCAAAAAAAAAAGTAGACAAAGGACAGGAAAAGACACCTTTCAAAAGGCACCACACCACTACTGCCTGGATGAAGAAGGAGTGGCATTAGCAATTCAAGTCTGTTTGCTCCATCCCTTCAGTGCCTCTTTCAGTGATATGGAGTTATAACCAGGTATCTATGAGGACTCACCTGCTTTGTGGTTCTTATGGAGGTGTTTTTCCTCTGTAGATACTTGTTAACTTTATGTCTTGAGGGGTGGGGGTAAGATTGGTGGAGCCTTCTATTCTGCCATCTTGCAAGGCAAGACATTACATTCACTTCTTTTTTCCAGAAGACAACACGCCGATCCTTTATACTGATGATATTATGCTGATGAGACCTGGTGATCAGGAGGTGGCCATGATGTTAGACACACTGGTTAGACACTTGTGTGCGTCAGTCAGGAATAAATACCAGAAAAATTCAGGGTACTTCCCATTTTCTGAAATTTCAAGGACTCCAAGTGACTGGGGCATCTAAAGATATCCCTTCTCATATGCAGGTGGAGTCTTTGCATAAGGCCCCTCCTGACTAGGGACATGTGCCTAGTCAGACTCTTTGAATTTTGGATGCTGTACATACCTCACTTGAGTACATTCCATTCACCCATCTACACCGTATTTTTTAAAAGCTGTTAGTTTTGTGTGGGGCCCAGAATAAGGGAAAGCTGTGCACCAGACAGACCCAGGCTGTCATGCACGTTTCTCTGGCCTGGGATTCAGCAGGAGCAATGGCGCTTGAAGTGTCAGTGACAGGTAGAGATGCTCTTAGAAACTTTGGCAGGGTCCCATACGTGAATCACAGTACAGACCCTTAAGATTTTAGAGCAAAGCCATACCATCCTTGTGGATAACTGCTCAGCTTTTGGGAAAAAGCATTTGTCTTGTTACTGGGCCTTAGCAGAGGCTGAATGCTTACCAATGGCCTCCAATTTACTATGAGACCTGGCTACTGGACAAGACCTGGCCAGGTGGGTCTGACCAAGCAGCTAAAAAGTTGGACATTCACAGCAGCTCTCCATTGTCAACTAGAAATGGTCTATGTGAGATCAGGCTTAAGCAGGCTCTGAAGGCACATGAAAGCTGCAGGAAAATGGTTCCAAAGCTCTGGAGCCCTTACTCCTGCCCCATTACCTTCTCTGTCTAGTCTGCACCTGTAGCCTCAGACTCCATATATGGAGTCTTTCCAGAAGTTCACCTCCGTTTGGGCGCAGGAGGTTGAAGACACACCTGCGCGTCCCCACGCACGTTCGGGAGCGCACGCGCCCGTGAATAAGCAAGCGCACCCACAGAAATACGCATGCGCATGCGCATGCACATGCCCTTCAGTGCGCACCCGCGCAACTGCGCGCTTGTGTTGTTCCGGTGTTCCCGAGCTTCTCAGGTAACCTGGCGGTCCGAGATGTGAGACCTGCAGGCAAATAGCAGTGGCAGACAGACGGGCGCGACGAATGGCCGCAGCGACATTCCTCAGGCAGAGGTAGGCGGCTGTAGGCGGGATCTGGGCCGCACCGGGGATAGACCCCGAGCCCCGACTCCGCGTGAGTGCGGCTCCGGCCCGGCTGCCCTCCCACGTCCCCAGCTGGATCCCGAAGCCCTCTAGTCTGACTTCGGCCAAGCGCGCTTAGGCTTGGATCAGCCGGGTAAGAGGGTTTGACGAAGCCAGCTGGGTGGTTGTGGACGTGTGGGGCGGGAGAGACGGAGCCCATGATGCCAGCTCGCAAGCGCGTTAGCCCAGCGTCCATCGGAATTATTTTGTATATATCCAAGATCTCTTGCCTCTGTGGCGCTAGGTCGTCTGGCTTCAGAACTCAGCTGCCATAGGTTGAAAGACGGGAATACTGGTGACCTTTACACCGAAAGAGGGGCAGCTACCTTTAGAGAACCCTGCCATTCTTTTTGGGGCTTGTTTGAGGAATAATTATTTGCCAGTCCTATAACTAAAACTTGTTTATTGTGGAAAATAAGATGTTTAATTGTAAGGAAAAGAGAGCAATTGTTGCATAGTTGAAAAAAAGGGAGAGTATCATGAAGAAACAAGGGAAAAGAAATACAATGAATCGTGGGGTCTTTTGAAGCCTGTTTTTACTAAAATCCTGCTTGATGGAGATTTTTTGTCCTGGCATTGTGGAAAGTGTCTTTGATGTTTGCCTCACTGAAAAAGTTGGTATTGCAAGAATAAAGTTTGAGCAACGTGTCAATACTAGGGCCCACGGGTATTAACCAAGAGGATGAAAGCAAGAACAAGATGACCCAATTTGCTAAACTTACGTTTTAAAATTAAGACTGGAAGACTATCGAAGAACTTTTGAAATTTTAGAGTTTGTAATCCCTTTGTGTCATAGTCAATAAAGGCTAATTAGTGGAAGATTAATTTTGTTTCCTCAAGGTATTTCAAATGACACATAAAATCAAAATCGTAAATATATATTGCATATATTATGTGTTAAAGTGTTTTCAAGAACATCTGAAGTAAGGGATTGGTATGCTTTTGCGTAGCTTTTAGTTTTTATTTTTAAGGATTTGTATAGATAATGCCTTCACAAAGCTCAAAAGAGAAAAGGTGCAAAATATAGCTAAACTATTTCTTGTCTATTCCACTACAACCCCCAAGGTAATTGCAGTTGTTAATTTGTTGTTTTCTTCCAAAATGTTGTCATACTATAAAAGGCAAATGTGAGTATAGGTTATTTCCCCTCCGTATATTTTATAGAGAGAGCCTACTGGATATGTGATAATCGACTATGCACACACACACATACACATATATGTGTGTGTGTGTGTTTATATATACATGCACACAGGTTTATAGTGTATACAATATACAGTTACATTATGTATATAATATATATACACTAGCTCATGCCTTCATTTTTTACTTACTGTAATAACTTAGAGACATGTCTAAATCCATATGTAGAAAGCTGCTTCCCAATTATCTTTTACAAAGGTCATAAACTACTTAAACGTATTATATGCTTTGTCTTGGAGGGCTTTTTTTGGATCATGCATCTTTTGTTCACGTTTCATTTTTAGGAGTCATTCATATTGCTTTGTGCAGCTGTAGTTCCTTCCTTTTCATTGATCTCCACTCCTGCATTTTATGAATCTGCCAACACATACTCAGCAGTTTTACTCTTGATGGACATTGATGGTTTCTAGCTTGAGACTGTGGCAAGCACTGCCTTCTATACAAAATTGTCCCAGTCTCTTCAGGATGATAATTTCCTTTTTTTTTTTAAGGAGAGTCCCCAGAAAGACTCTGGACTCCCTGAAATGTAAAGCAGATGTCTCCCTTTCTGACTGGTGAATAGAAAAATTGTCTAGAATAAACAAAGAGACTTACTGGGAAGACAGGAATCAAGACCCTCTGAAAATTAATGTCTTTAGAGCAACTCAGGTGGAAGGGGCTGACCCAGAAATCTCCCCAAAGGAGACACTCCAGGGATAAAATCACTCTTAAAAGAGGGCTGGATCATCAGTTGTTGTCTTCTGAGTTGCAGCAACAGTGGGAAGAGAGGCAGTGAGAATACTGCAGGGGTCGCAGTAAAGGTGTCCTAACCTTGTGTCTGTGGGTGGAGAAGAATGATGGCTGCAGGGAGACCGTCAGTGGGAACCAGTGTTGTGTGCTCTGATCAAAGGATTTGCCTTGCATTCATCCCTGTACAAGATTTACACTCTTAAAGTAGTGACCTCCAAAGATTTAGACTCTGCAAAGTAATGACTACTCTGTTCATTGTTTGAGCCTACAGCTGCTCCTCTATGAAATGACTTTTCCCTTTCTCAGTCTGCAGAAAGATGGGAGAAGGGCTTGTTAATCCGTGAACACTCTTTAAATGAATAAATCAGATTTGTACATGTGAGATTTGCCTTTCCAGAAGTGATACTGTATATGCCTTTTTCTGGAACTTAGGGAAAAAAGCATATGAGTTTCCTTCACAAGCAGTTTTCTTCTTGTTTTTCTTTTCCTGGTTAAGTGGAGGAATATGTGACACTTTGGGTTCAGGTGGGGGAATGGGAGCCCTCAAGGTTTCCCGCCCCTCTGCTTTCAGTGTAGAGAGCAGGGCTCCTACACAGCCCTGCTCAGCTCAGACACAGCCTCGCCAGCCCTGTCATGGCTCAGTTATTCAAGCCTCCAATCCCATCGCTTATCCCTGTGTGGCTGAAAACACAGCTACTGGACATTTCAGTGCAGTGACTCATCTGAAATTGGGTAGCAATTTTAGTTCAGTGTCTGACATAAAGTCCATGCTGTAGAAGGGTGTTATTCCTAATGTCTTCTCAGGTATTTCAGTGGACTTGTCACTCACTGCTTCTGTGCCGGGAAGATTTATTCCCTTTGACTCCTTCATGCCACCCATAGAATCCCTGAGGCCCTGTTAGTAAAGACCACTTTCTTTATCCCCCTGAAAGAAAGAAGCAAATTCTGTAAAGCTTGATGAAGTTTTAATGAGCAAGTGTAAGAATTGAAGTGAGGACAGATCATGTTGTTAGCCAGCTCTGGGAATCCATGGCCAAAGAGAAACAGGAATTTTTTTGAAAATGAAGAGCCTGGCTATCACCCTTGATTCTGGACACTCACTGAGGTAAGGGAGCAATCTCTCCACACTTGTAACATCTTCACAGACCCTTGTGGGAGTCGATGGTCAAAGGTGTAATAGCACTGGCCATGGACCTTTACCTAGAAGAGGAAACATGCATTAGAAAGACAGTATTTCACTAAACAAGCTTTCAACCTGCTCTCTGCTATGTCCTAGTACCTGCAACATGCAAACAGAAAATACCTAATTATACATCTGAAGCGAGTAGACACACTTCTTTTTACAGACCACCTTTTGTGATTATTTGAGATAGTTGCTCACTACATTTTCAGCATTTCCTCTCATTCTCCAGAGAGGTTCTACCACTCTGTGTCATATGTGTTTGTTTGGTCTTCTGTCTATCCTGGAAGATCCCCATGGTCAGGTACTGTGTCTCATAAACTTGAATCTCATCATCATGCACAGGGCCTGCCACGGGGTTAGTGCTCGACAATGTTCATTGAATGCATACATTTCAGTTATGTGAACTGACTCACATTCATTTCTCATGACCCAGCTTCTCTTTGGAGTAGCCCAGATCTCAGCTGGTGGTGTCAGAATAAAACCCAAGTGTTCTCAGAGAGATGGAAATGCACAGATGTTGCAAAGCATTAGATATCATCTTTAACATCTTATAAACATGGGGGAAAAATCCCTGACTTCAATCTGAATAAAATGTGAATCCTTTAGCATACACTTTGAAATGTTAGAAAGTTTGATCACATTTTTCATTACTGAGGCTCTATAGGAAGTCCTCTTCTAAGTTGTATTCTCTAATTTAAAGCAAACGATTTTGAATGGGTTATTCCATTTGTTTGTAATTACCTTCCAATGTAAGTATTGGGAGGTTGATAATGATAAAAGGTTTCTAATCATTAAGAAGCTTAATACAGCATCCCTTGTGAGAGCAAAACATTGGAAAAAAACCTCAGTGCTTTTGTAAAGATCATATTCAACAATTTTTGGTAATTTTTTGAGGGGAATAATATGCAATCCTTAAAAAATGAGACAGCACCGTGGATAGATGATTTCTTCAAGGTATATACTTTGGGTACAAATAACTGTAGTTGTTAAAGTGTTATGTGTAGAGAAATCTATGCCAGCATCGGTTTAAAAGAAATGAAAATATATATGTGTGTGTATATTTATGCGCCCATAAGCATAGACTATCTATAGAAGAAGAGTAGAGAAGCTAGTAATATTCTTCTGAGACTCTGGCATCAGGAATAACAGAAAGTCTTCATATTGGACTGACTAAAACAATTTTATTCATTTAGCTACATGAAAATTGAAATAATAGCATAAGTGGAAATGAGAACTGTGGTTGAAGAGGAGATTCTCCACCATGGAGGAAATGGTAGGTGAGCCACCCTTGACCCTGGTCAGATTTGGGAAGGAGCTGTGGATGGCAGTGCAAGCAGAGATGATGGCAGTGCACGCAACAACACTTGTTGAAAGAGAGAGGAAAATTATAAAAGTTAAGTATCCCCTCTGTGTGTGAGGAAAAGCTTGAGACAGAGGTAGTTATGGGAGATAGGCTCCAAGAGTTTCTTGGAGGACAGGGAGAGCTGTCTTTTGCTCTGGGAGCCCATGGAGGCCAGGTGCTGGGAGCTCCTTGGGCACTCACCTGGTACCCATTGTCCACCACTGAGATGCACAGCTCAAAGTCTTTGCCATCCTCAAAGGGCATATTGTTGCATTTCACTTCCTGCTTCCAGGTCCCATTCTCACGGCTGTTCATGATCACATAACGGCCAAAGTACACTTGGAAATGGAAAGCAATGTCTGAGACATCATCCATCGCAGTGTGGAAATCCACCTGTAGCTGTGGTTCATTGCTGAAGAGAAAGCACACAGTGTGTTGAGCAGCTCCCTGTCTTGTTGCGTACGCACACAACATACCCACAAATCCTTCCCATTTTTCTCCAGGGCAGACAGAAGCCTTCCTGGTGATAATGCAGGCTTCCTCTCTGTGGGGCTGCTTCAGTTCCTTCTGCCCTAGGGGAGGATGGGAGAAGATGCTCTGCCCCTGATTCCCAGACAGAAACTGAACTACAGTCACTAACCTTATGAGTGTCCACCCCATGAAAATTTTGCGGCCCTTTATAGATAAGGAGCCACAATCTCAACCACTGCCTGTCCTCCTCCCCTAGGCCTCATGACTGACCCACAGTGCAGCCATGTCAGGTTTCTTGCCAGGTGCTGGAGGGTCTCCAGGACCTGCACCTGCATGGTGCCTCCATCCTGCCAGCTAGACATTTCTGCATCACTCACATGAGGTCACCCCTGAGCAAATGTTCTCCCTTCTCCACCCCACCACCCTTGGACACAAAAATACTCACATGAAAGGTTGGACAGGTTTCCCTTGGATTGTCACAGAAGTACCACTATGCAGGGACACAGCCTGTGTGTATGGCACCTGCCAGAAAATTGAGACTGAGTGAGAGGCACCGGGCCGTGCTCCCCTGCTAGAACATATTCCCTTTAGGCAGTTGGTTAGATGTTGAAGGGTAGACCCTGAGGCCTCCCCTCTCCCACCTTACCACAATCAGAACCCTGTATTCTTGAATACATACTTAAAAGCAGAGCTTCAGAAACTGGGCTGCCTCAATTTTCTCCTTGATTCTGCCTTCTGCTAGAAGTGAGGGGTTAACATTTTTTGAACACTATTCTTAAGATGGGGTCTTATTATATTCCCCAGACTTGAGTGCAGTGGGCCCATCTCTGCTCACTAACTGCAGCCTCAACCTGCAGGGCTCCAGCAATCCTCTCACCTCAGCCCCCTAAGTAGCTGAGACTACGGGTCCGCACCACAGAACCAGCTCATATTTTATGTTTGTGGAGAGTCAGGGTCTCTTGTTGTTGCCCAAGTTAGTCTGGAGCTCCTAGGTTCAAAAGATCCTCTTGCCTTGGCCTCCCACACTGCTGATGTACAGGAGTGAATCACTTTACCCAGCCAACAGTGTGACATTAGATTCACTACTTGAACTCCCCCTCCTCCGTTTCCCCAATACAGGCAGGATTTTCTAAAGGTCCTACTTTGTAGGACGTTTTCAGTAATATATGAGTTAATATGTGTAAAACCTGTACACTAATCCCCAGAATGCAGTGGCACCATCACAGCTCATTACAGCCTTGAATGCCTGGACAGCAGCAATCCTCCAGCCTCAGTCCCCAAGCATCTGGGAGTACAGGCACATATCAGCATGCCCAGCAAATGTTTAAATGTTTGGAAAGACAGAATCTTGCTGTGTTGCCCAGGCTGGTCTCCAACCCCTAGACTCGGGTGATCCTTTAACCTCAGCCTCCCAAAGTGCTGGGATTACAGGCCTCAGCAAACTTCTTGATGAATATCCACTGTAAGCTCTGTGTGAACTGAAGCTAAAGTTCCTTGCTGGTTTTGGGTGATTCCATATCTGAAACCAAGTCCCCCAATGCTCTTACCTAGTGAATCAAAATCTGCCCACCATCCTGGTGCTCAGTGTGAAGGACAGGCTAAGATGTGGGACAGGGAGAGACCTGAGGCTGGAGGCAGGAGCCAGTGGTCACTGTGTGCAGATTCCACCTGCAGATGCACGCCAACAAAGCCTGCCTCCCTCTCCCCGACTCTGCATGAGAAGAGGCTCCCAAGAATTTGTGCATTCTGCTCTCGTGAATGCTCAGAGACCAGTCCTAGGTAACTCACAGTCCCCAAAATCCCCACCATTTCTGCCACCTGGGATCCACATTGACATACATGGGAAGAGGCACAGCTGCTTCATCAGAGGTGCTGCTGTGTGCGGAGAAACCCTCACATGCACAGAAGGCCACATGCATGTTTCCAGTTCAACACCCAGTCACATCCCAGCACATACACCCACGGTCACATGGAGCCGCACCACTCAGAGTCACACATGCCCACTTGCTGTGCATATAAAGATGCTCACACACTGATCTGGCTGTGCTCACACAGTCACATCACAGTTACTATGACAAAGCATAGTCAACCCCTTACACTCAGGCACATACCTGCATGTCCTGATGGGCCATCCGCCTCCCACCTAAAGTCATATAATCTCAACAGACACCATTCTCATCAGAAACCATCACTTGGTCACAGAGGGTTACAGTGGCCCAGGGTCTACACCCCACAACCACAAGCATCTCAGACATCAGAGCCCTAGGTTATCTCATTCACAAGCTTGCAACTCACAGTAGAAATGCTCATATTTGCATCTCATAAAATCTCCCTCTTTCCTTTTTTCTGTGACTTGAGATTATTGAAGGCTGTGCCTTTTCAACTCAACTCACAGTTAGTGGTGACATTGTTGTCTCCCTCTGGGCGGCTGTTCCAAATTGGGTCCAGTCTTCTGTGTGAATCTCTTGGAGTTGCAGCATTTAAATGGTCCCTGGCAGCCCTGCTCTCTGGCTTCATTCCTGTTTCCAAGCCCCTCCCAGCAAGGTTTCCCTGTGGGATACGATGTAAGATGTTAGAAAGAAGCTGAGTCAAAACCACACCTGTTTGCAGGCCTATGACAGACAGGGAGGGAGGTGTCAGGGGAGGAAAAGGGATCACCAGGGAAATACACAGATAAGGATGATGCAATGAGAGGTTTTGATGTTCATCCTCCATGCCTGTCATGAAGCATTTTCTCCACTGTGCAGAATCCACCTGGCAGGTGTGCATTTTTCTAACTTGTGCAATGAGAAACAGGTGGGGATTGTGGAAAAGGCTTTGGCCCTCGAATGTAATCCTGTTCTCTGCTCCAGAGTCTCTGAGAGAGCACTGACTTTGATCCTCAGCAGAAACATGGGGGAGAGGTGGAGAAAGTCCTTGTGTCCTCATGAGCCCACGCCAGGCCCCTTGGCTCTGGTGAGTGGTGACCACTCTCACACACCTGGGCTCCAGCCACACCATCTCCTTTCTCTTTTGGTGTCCATGTGCATTGAAATCTCAAGAGTTCCTGCTTCTGCAGATTCAAGGAGACAGGTGAGATTCTTAAGTCTAGTCCTTGAGTTGTGTGCTCCTTAGCTCCAGACCCATGTGAGGACAGGCGCAGGTGCAGGTGATTGGACTTCAGCCATAGTGAAGTCTTCACCCGAGGTGGAAGACTCAGGAACCTTCCTCAAGTTCTCTTTCTCTGATAATAGAAAACATCTCGAAAACCTGTATTAGAATTTGAAGAAGGAATGTGTAGAATTCCTCTCCTTCCATTTGTTCCCTCTCTTTCTTTGTTTTCCTCTTCAGCTTTATTGACTGTAAATTGAAAGTGTTTTCCAAAAGTTGATCCAAGTTACCAAACAATCTGTATTTTGATGAGGAATTATTAAAATAGCACTTCAATATTAGGCATGGCCTGTTGGTGACACCCGTTGTTTCCTATCTGTCGCTTCCTTGCCATGTAACCTTCTTGCCCCCATGGGCAACCCTGCTTCTGCCTTTCCTCTTTGCTTTTCTTTTAGTTTCATCACTTTGTTGAATGTTGCTTGTAGGTAATTTTCCAGGAGGGCTCCTTCTGGGTCATGCATCTTTAGTTGACATTTCTGTTTTTAGGATTCATCTGTATTGCTGTGTGCAGCTGTAGTTACTTCATTTTCACTGCTGTATACTCTGAAGTTTTATAAATAGATCAACACATACATACCAGTTTTACTGTTGATGGACATTGGGAGGGTCCCAGCTTGGGACAATTGCAAACATTGCTTTCTACACAAAATTGTCCCAGTCCCCTCATGCTGATCATTTTTTTCTTCATGGAAAATTCCAAGACATATCATAGACTCCCTGAAATTTAAAACAAATCTCTCCCTTTCTGACTGTGAATGTAAGAAATTGTTCATAAGGCAAACAGAGACTTACTGAGAAGGCAAGAATTATGACACACTAAGGATTCGAATCTTTAGAGGACCTCTGACAGATGGGGCTGCCCAGAGTCCACCCAAAAGCAGACATTCCAAGGAGAAAAGTCACTTTTAGGAATGGACTGTTGGGTCAGGAGGGGTCTTCTGATATCAGGGTCCAGGCTCTGACATGGGATAGGTTACAGTGGTAGGCACTGCAGGGGATGGCAATGGAGGTGTCATAACCCCATGTTAGTGGGGGGAGAAGAATGGGCCCCGCAAGGAAAACCATCAGGGAGAGCTGATACTGTGTGCCCTGATCAAAGACTTCACCTTGCATCCTTCTCCAGCCAGGGTTCACACTCTGCAAAGCAGTGACTGCCCTGGGCACTGTTGGAGCCTGCAGCTTCTCCTCTGTGAAATGGCTTTTTCCTTTCTCAGTCTGCAGGGAGGGTGGGAGCAGCGTATGGTCATCCATGAGCACTTTTTACATGAACAAGTTAGCTTTTTTTAAGTCTGGGTCTCAACCTTTCCTGAAACAAAGTTGCATATTCCTCATGCCTAACCTGAGAAGGAGACAGCATAGGAGTTTTATTTTTTGTTTTTTCTGGTTGAGTGGAGGGACCTGTGAGCTTTGGACTTCAGGTAGGTGGAAGGGAGCCCCCACGAGTGCCCCACTCTCCTCATTGTAGAGTGTGGCTCCCACTCAGCCGTGCTCAGCTCAGACACATTCCCTCCCACCCTGCTACTCACTTAGTTATTCACATTCCAAATCACCTCTCAGTCCAGAAACCTGCATGCACACCCTTTCCCTTCTCTTTCTATTGCAGCCTTTCTGACACCTGTGGGAAAGTCCTATGGCTCTACTTGAATAAAACAGCCATGAATTGAAAAATTTTTATTTCCTGCCAGTTCACCCAGGACAGGCAGTTTTGTATCTACTCTGAGTGTCTTGCTGTTTTCTTAATAAAAAAATGTCTTTTCTATAACTTCTCTCCTTAACAGTGATGTGATAGAAATAGAATTTGCAAGATTCCAACAGTGAATTATGAAATCATTTATGTCTGCACCATGGATTTCTTGGGAAACTTTATCTGGCTTTTAACTAGATGTGCAAAGGAAACATGGTCAGATTTTCAGTTTGCTTAAAAGTTTACCCAGGGTCATAAGGAAGTAAAGTAATGAAGAGCCCTTGGCAGCCTCCCCGTGGGTCCCAAATTGATCTGTGATTATTCGCTCAGTTTCAAGTTGGATAAAAGGATTGGACACATTCAGAACATGGTAGAATTTCACATTGGTTCGGTCATGTAATGGCCTATATTTCAGTTCCGTGAACTATGACTGCCATTCACTGCCAGTGTCCTAGTTTCTCTTTACAGTCTCTGAGATGTGAGCTGGTGGTGGCCAAGAATGAAACTCGTGTTCCTAGAGAGTTAAAACAGTACAAGTGTTGCAAAACATATGATATTATTTTTAATAGCTGATTAGCATATAAAAAGATTCCCAAATATGAATAAAATGTAAATCTTTGGGCATAAACATTAGGGAAGGCCAGAAAGTTTGAACATATTCTTTACTACTGAGGTCTATAGAGAAAGTTACCTTATAGGTGTTAATATATCAGATTTTACATGCACACATTTTCGACCCAGTTATTCCATTTCTTTGTAATTATCTTCCAATATAAGTATCAGAAGGTTGATAATGACAAAAGGGTTGATTAGAGAGCTTAATGTGGCATTATTTGTGAGAGCAAAACATTGGAAACAACCTAAATGCACATCAAAAAGGTCAAGTTCAATAATTTTGGGTACTCCTATTGAGACAGTATGCAGTCTTTAAAAACTGAGACACCACCATGGTTAGGTGATGTCCTCAAGATATATTCTTTAAGAACAAATCAACTTGTAATGTGTAATGTGTAGAGCAGTTTATGCCAGGATTTGTTTATAAAGCAAATGAAATCGTAGACCTGTATGCTTCTATAGGCATAGGTTTCCTCTGAAAGGAGAGCAGAGCACTGGTAATGTTCGCAGGAGTCAAACTGGAGTCCAGGAGTGAGACAAAGGCTTAATCTTTGACTGACTACAACAGTTTTATTCTTACACATATTGTATTCATTCAGCTGAATGAAAATGTAAGTAACTGCCTAAGTAGAAATGAGCACTGTAAGAAAAGACAGTGGAGATTCCGTACCTTGGGGGAAATGGCAGGTAAGCTGACCTTGACCCTGGTCAGATTTAGGAAATGAGCTGAAAATGGCAGTGCAAACAGAAGGTGCTCTGTGGTGAAAAGCCTGGGGCAAGGGTAGTAATGGGAGGAGCCCAAGGGACTGAGCTGCCTCCTGCTCTGGAAGCCCGCAAAGACCACGTGCTGGGAGCTCCTGGGTGCTCACCTGGGACTCCTTGTTCAGCACTGAGAGGCCCACGTCAAATTGTTTTCCATCTTTGAAGGGCATGTTGTGGCATGTCACCTCACACGTCCAGGCCTCACATTAGTGAATATTCATGACCACACAATGGCCAAGATACACTCAGAAATGGAAGGTGATGTCTGAGTCCTCATTCACTCCTGTGTGGGAATACCCCTGCAGCTGTGGGTCATTGCTGAGGGTAAAGCACACAGCAGATTGTGCAAAACCCTCCCTTGTGGGGCACAGACAGGACATACATAGAAATTCCTTCGCCCTTTTCCTCAGGGCAGACGGAAGCCTTTCTGGTGCTGCTATAACCCTCATCCCTGTGGGGTTGCTTCAGCTCCTCCTGACCTTCAGAAGTGAGACGCTCTGCCCGTGTTCCCAGATGGAAACTGAGCCACAGTAACTGACCTGTGGCTATAAGTTATCCATTCCTTGAAAATTCTATGCCCCTTGATAAAGAGCCACAGCCCAAACCCACTGAGTGTCCTCCTCCCGTAGGCCATATGACTGGCCCACAGTGCAGGAACTGCAAGTTTCATGCCTGGTGCTGGAGGGTCTCCAGGACCTTCACCTGCATGGTGTCTCCATGCTGCCAAGTAGACATTTCCACATCACTCACATGAGACCACCTCCTAAGTAAATATTCTCCCTCTTCCTGTACCACGCACCATCCTTGGACCATGGAGTACTCACACAAAAGGGAGGATCAGTGTCCCTCTAATTGTCACTCAAGAATGACCAGACAAGTACACAGGCCATGTATGTGGTGCCTGCCACGGAGATTGAGAGTGGATGAGACAGGCAGGGCCAGGTACGGCCTCTCCTTCTATAACAGATTCTCATGATGCAGGAGGTTCGAGACCAAGGGCAAACTCAGGCCTCCTCATTCCCACTCTACCACAGTCAGGCCTCTTATTCCTGAGGAAATAGGGGTGGGGGCATAGTTATGAGTTAGGCATCAGGAACCAGGCTACCTGGATCTCTGTCCTGATTTTGCCTCTTACTAGTAGTGCCATCTTAGATCTGTTACTTAAATGTTCTCTATCTCAGTTTCCCCCATCCAAAGAGGATTACTAGAAATTTCTTCTTTGTAGGAGGTTCGCATGGATAGAACAGTTAATGTATGTAAGACTTTTACCCTAATCCCTGGCATGTATGGGGCCAGTTAGATGTTACTGAAAGAAGAGGGTGGGTTCTTCTGGAACACTGCCCTGCCTTCATTTTCAACTCTGAAACTGTGAAAACAAGATACAAGGATGTAACAGTAAAGTAATTCACTCCAGTGAGAAATAATACTTGTTGAAAGAGAGAGGGAAATAACAAGAGAACAGTAAACCCCGTATGTGTGGGGTGCACATGCATCACAATCATCAAGGGCCATGGACATCCTTCCCAGAAGACGCACAGATTGTTAAAAGCACAGCTTCAGTACTTGCACAAATAGAGTGTGGGCCAGAGAAATAACTGGAGGGAATCTACAAGTGGCTGATATTTGTTCTCTTTTGAGATAGGGTCACATTCTATTGCTCAGGCTTACGTGCAGTCATGCAACCCTAGCTCACTGTAACCTTGACACCACCACCCCTGTTTGCAGGCCTGTGTCTGTGATGCAGCGGAAATCACCGTGGTGGAGGTACCAGGGGGGAGGAAGGAGTAACACGGAAATGCACAGATAAGAATGACGGAGTGAAGGGTTGTGCAATCCAGCCTTCGTGCCTCTCATGAAGTTTTTTCTCCACTGTGCAGAAATCGACCCGGAAGGTGTACATTGTCCTAACTTGTGCAATAGTTTAAAAAAGAAAGGTGGAGATTCTGGAGAAAGGTGTTGGCCCTAAAAGGTAATGCTTCTGGGCCGGGCACGGTGGTTCATGCCTGTAATCCCAGTACTTTGGGAGGCCGAGGTGGGTGGATCACTTGAGGCCAGGAGTTTGAGACCAGCTTGGCCAACATGGTGAAACCCTGTCTCTAACAACAACAACAACAACAACAACAACAACAACAACAACAAAAAGAAGTAAAGCTTCTGTTTGTTCCGTAGTTTCTGGGGGATGACTGGCCTTGATCCTCAGTGGGACCTGTGGAGAAGGATTGAGATAGTCCTTGCTTCTTTCTTCCCACTCAGAAGGCCCCTTGTCTCTGCCAGGTGAGAGCTACTCCCTTCTGTCTCTCACACACCTAGGCTCTAGCTGCAGCTTATTCTTCCTTTCTGGGTGTTCATGTGAATCAACATTTCAGAAACATTGTTTCTCCTGACACCATTTATTAAATAGGAAATCTTTTCCCCATTACTTGTTTTTGTCAGCTTTCTCAAAGATCAGATGGTTGTAGATGTGTGACATTATTTCTGAGGCATCTGTTCTGTTCCATTGGTCTATATCTCTATTTTGCTACCAGTACCATGCTCTTTTGATTACTGTAGCCTTGTAGTATAGTTTGAAGTCAGGTAGTTTAATGCCTTTTTTTCTTTTTTTTTTGCTTCCCCACCCCCGCCGGATTATCTTGCCTATGTGGGCTCTTTTTTGGTTCCGTGTGAAATTTAAGGTGGTGGTTTCCAATTCTGTGAACAAAGTCAACAGTAGCTTGATGAAGATAGCATTGAATCTATAAATTACTCTTTTTTAAAAATTTTGCTCTTCAGTTTTATAATCTGTTAATGTAAACCATTTATAGGAAACTTGATACTACTTATTAAAGAACTGTATATGATAAGTAATTATTAATCTAGCACTTGAGTAAACACTCCAATTCTATGCACAGCCTGTTGCTAACACACTTTGGGTCCACCTGTTTTTAATCCACCATGTGATCTTCTTGCCCCCACAGGCGAACATGCTCCTGCTTTTCTTCTTTGCATTCCTTTTAGTTCCACTATGTTGTGGAATGTTGCTTCAAAATGCCTGCTCTCTTAGGTCTTTTTTTAGGGTCATGCATGTTTTGTTCACATTTTTGTTTTTAGGGTTCATTTGTATTGCTATGTGGAGCTCGAATTCCTTCATTTTCACTGCTCTACACTCTGGAATTTTATGAATATGCCAACACATAGATACCAGTTTTACTCTAGATTGTACATTGAGGGGTTCAGTTTGATACAATTGCAAATATGGCTTTCTAACCAAAATTGTTATAGTCTCCTCATGCAGATCATTTGTTCTTTAGAAAAGCTTTTCAGACAGACTGTAGACTCCCTGAAATGTAAATCAAATCTTACTCTTTTTGCTCACCAAGTAGACATAATTATCCAGAACCAGCACAGCCCTCCTGGGAAGGCAGGAAGCAAAACCCTCTGAGGATTAGAGTCTGTAGAGCATCTTGGATGGACGGGGCTTGCACAGAGGCCACCCAAAAGGAAAAGGCTGCAGGGGAAAAGCCACTCTTAGGAGAGGGCTGGGTGTAAGAAAAGGTTTTCTAAGATCAAGGCCCAGGCGCCTACAGGAGAGGGAGCAGTAGTGGGCACTGCAGGACTGGCAGTGGTGGTATATTACCCCATGTCCGTGCATGGGTCTGTGGGTGGGGAATAGAGGCTGAAGGGGAGATCATCAGTGAGATTGGACACTGTGTGCCCTGACCAAAGGGTTCACCTTGTATCCGTGTCTTTTTTTTTTTTTTTTTTTGAGACGGAGTGTCGCTCTGTCGCCCAGGCTGGAGTGCAGTGGTACAATCTCGGCTCACTGCAACCTCCACCTCCCAGGTTTAAGCGATTCTCCTGCCTCAGCCTCCCAAGTAGCTGAAACTACAGGTGCATGCCACCATGGCTGCTAATAATTTGTATTTTTAGTAGAGATGGGGTTTCACCATGTTAGCCAGGTTGGTCTTGACCTCCTGACCTTGTGGTCTACCCACCTCTGCCTCCCAAAGTGCTGGGATTACAGGCATGAGCCCCCACAGCTGGCCCACCTCTTACCAAGATTTGCACTCTACAAAGTAGTGCCTGCCGTCCTCATTCTTTGAGCCTGCAGATCCTCCTCTGTGAAGTGGCTTTTCTCTTTCTCAGCCTGAGGGGTGGGGGGGGGGGATGGAAACAGGGCATAATCATGCATGAGCACTATTTAAATAAATTCCCTTTTTCTAAGTCTGTGCCTCAACAATTCCAGACATGAAGTTTTATATCCTTTATGTCTTAACTCAGAGGGAGAGCAAAGGAGTTTCATTCCTGGTTTTCCTGGTTGAGTGAAGGGACTTGTGAGCTTTGGAGTCCATGTAGGAGGAAGGGGACCGCCATGAGTGCCCGCCTTGTGTTTTTAGTGTAGATAATGTGGCTCCTACTCACCTCTGCTCAGCTCTGACATAGCCCCTCCTACCCTGTGACTTAGTTATTCAAGCCCCAAGTCCCCTCTCCCAGTCCAGAAACCTCCACGCTGTCCTTTACCCTCTACTTTCTACTGTAGCTTTCTCATACCTATGGGAAAATCTTATGATCCTACTTTCATAGAACAATTATGTGTTGAGAAATGCTGAGTGTTTGATTGCTGAGAAATGCTGAGTGTACAGAATATATTGTTTGATAGGAAGAACGATGTCAAGGAAAACCTAGTCACTCCCACCCCCAAATAGAAAACTCCTTGGGGCAGCCTAAAGGGGCAGGACAATATATAAATATCATACACCGGTTAAAACAATTATTTAAGCCTGGGACATCTGACCCATGGCTCCCTCATGGACAATACTTTTTAATTTTTCTGTGATCAGTGGTAAGTGGGCACCAGCTGCTTTCTTGGTATATTTTTGTGTTATGAGAAAATACCGAACATCTGTTTGTTAATAATCATCACCTGTTCAGAGAGAATAAATGTATGGGTCAGAGTCTGCTTGAGGCCTTCAGCTCTGAATACTGTCAGCCCCCTGAGGATCTCAACTCGGAAGGCTGTTGCCCCCCTGGATAGACCCACTTTGCTGTTCTATCTGAGTGTCTACCTCTCAATTCCTTCAGCACCACCTGGGTGGGGGTCTCTACAGCCGAGCTGGTCTCGGTCATTATGAATCAAGCAATTTTTATTTCTTAACAATTCAACAAGGGCAGGGAATTGTTTTTCTACTCTGAGCGTCTTGCTGTTTCCGTAATGTCTTTTTCTATAACTGCTTTATGAAAAACTGATGCAACAGAATTCGTAAGAATCCAGAAGTGAATAATAAAATCATTTATGTCTGCACAGTGGATTTCTTGAGAATTTACTCATGGCGTCATAACTGTTGTAAAAAGAAAACATAATCAGATTTTCAGTTTGGTTTAAAGTTTAGCGAGAATCAGAAGATTAAGTTCTTTGGCAGCTGCTCAGTTGGCCCCCTATCTATCTGCCGGTATTTGCTGAGTTTCATGTTGCTTATTTCCCAGAATCAGTGGCCGTTAGAGATGGTATTTACTCACCATCAGTAGTATTTGTTCAATGTCAGTGGCAGGTAGAGATACTCAGAAATTTCAGCAGGCTCCTATACATGAATTATGGCACAGACTCTGAAGCTTCTGGAGCAAAGCCATGTCATCCTTGTAGATACCTTGCAAACAACCTGGATCCCTCACACAACCAGTTTGCAATAGGGTTCACGCTCCAATGAGAATCTAATGCCACTGCTGATTTGGCAGGAAGCCGAGCTCAGGCAGTAATGTGAGGGATGGGCTATAGCTATAAATACAGATGACGCTTTGCTTGGTTGCCCACTGCTCGCCTCCTGCTGTATGCAGCCCGTTTTCTAAGAGGCCAGGAGTGGTATTTATCTGTGGCCTGGGGACCCCTCTTCTAGATAATACCTTTCAGATATATGATTTGCACATTATCTTCCATTCTGTCAGTTGACTGTTTACCCTTTTTACAGTGGTCTTTGATGAACAGATGTGATGAATTTTGACAAAGTGCACTTTGTTTTTCCCTTTGTTACTTGGGCTTTTACCCTCCTCTTCCCATCAAACCTACTCAAAAGATTTATGGTTCTACTTTCATAAAATAATCATGAAGACAGCTATTCTTATTGCCTACCAATTCACTGAAGTTAGGCAGTTGTGAATCTATGCTGAGTGTCTTGATAACTGCTTTCTTAATAAACAAATGTCTTTCTTATCACATCTGTCTGATAATACTAATTAGACAGCATTCATTAGAATCCAGAAATAAATTATGATATTATTTATGTCTGCACCATGGATTTCTTGAGAATTTTTTAATGTTTTAATAACTATGAAAATAAAGCCAAGAGCCCAAATCACAACAACAAAAAATGATAAAGTGCACTTCATCTGTATTTACAGCCCATATTCAAGAAATCATTGCCAAATCTCATGTCATGACGATATCTGTCTGTGTCTCTCCTAAGGCTTTTATCATTGAAGGACTTACGTTTATTCTTTGATATCATTTTGAGTTTACTTTTGTATGTGTTAGAAGGTAAGGCACCAGTGTGTGTAAGTCCAGTTTCCCCAGCATCATGTGTTGAAAATACTGTCCTTTTCCAATGCGATGGTCTTAGCCTATTGCGGACTCTCAGGTGACTCTGTGTTTCTAGACTCTCTATTCTTCTCCCTTGATTCCTGTGTCACTTCCAAAGCCATTTTTAGGTATCACATATCATGGAATTGGCTCTGTTTTTTTATTCTTGTGACCTGCATGAACACTATTTCTTATCCTTCTGATATGGGAGTTATTAAGAAATAGTATTTAGGCAGATAGTAAGGGTAAAGGTTCTTAGTGAAAATTTTTCTGTCATAAGAAGCATCCTCCAATCCATTTGTTTTCTAACAGAAAAGGCAACTTGAAGGGCCAGGCCAACAAACTGATATGCAATTGCTGGCCATGAGAAATGGGGCTTACTCAACATGGCTATTCCTGTTGGGTTTTTTGATTTTGTTTTTGTTTTTGTTTTTTTTTGTCACCAGGTGTACCAACTGTTGTGGCCACCTCCAGATAACACCATGTGTTCAGGTCAGGTTCTTCATGGGCTACATAAATAATACACCTGGTCAAACCGGTCTGCTGAGCTCTATGGAAACCAGACATTGACTCCTCCAGAATCCCAATATAAGCAGCCACTTTTTCCTGCACACAGGGTTTTCTTTTTTCAAATCACCCCTCCTCTGTGCAGAGGAGCTCTTCTTCCTTTCTTCTTTCTTGCCTATTAAATTTTTTACTCCTTAAAATCACTCCATGTGTGTCCGTGGCATTAATCCTATTAGCACAAGACCAAGGACCCTGGCGTTCCTCCAGTCATTGAAGCCCTATCATTTTGGTGTTTTGGCCATGAATGGGAAATTTCTTCATCAAACTGGTGGGTATGGAGTGAATCTCAACTTTAAATCTGCCCTTTAGTTTCAAGGGTTTCTTCCAGCTATCCTGTTGCCAAATGTTTTTTCTCTCCCTATCCGTGGTCACTTACACTCTATGTGTGTGTGCCTAATGTGCAGGAATCTTTACAGTTAAGAGAAACAGGTCTCTTAAATAAGGTCACAATCAAGACAGGCAGTAACTCAATAAACTTGTCTCTACAGTGTCTCTGGTAAGCACATGGTATTTCTAAGCCAACACCACCACCTAGTGGAAATAAAAATCCTGTTCGTAAGACACATTGTTGGTTCCCTGTGATAGATTACTGGTTCACAATTTTGCCATTTCGTGCTTTTCTACTGCTACTTCTGTGGATGGGAAAGCTTTGCTTTCAACAGTTAGGAGTTAGATGTCTTCCACAACCAGATTTTAGTTCTGATATTGTTATATCCGTAGGAAAACAGCCATTCGGTTTCTACCTTCTTTTAAGGCACCTATTCTGTCTCCAATTAAGACAGTACTTAATTAGTAAGGGTATTTTAAGTTTGGACGTTAACCACACGTGTTTTTTTTTTTTAAGGGTAAGTGCATTAGCATGGGTTGTAGTACCAAGCAATCTAGTACATTGCCTCCATTAAAGAAGTATTGTGCAAAGGTGACACAGTCCCTCCAGAGATTTTTTTTTCTGGGAGCCAGGCAAATCACACAGGTTTAGAAAATCAAAGTAAATCACACCAGGTGGATAAGCTAAAATTGCTTAGGGAGAGGAGCATCACACACTGGGAGCACTTGGGGGGGGGTAGGGGAGAGACAGCGGAGGGTGGTGAGGGTGAGGAGGGATAACATGGGGAGAAATGCAGATATAGTATGCACCTAATGTAAAAAATGGAAAATTAAAAAAAATAAAATTGCATAGATGAGCATGATTAGCCCCATCACTTAGTTCATCCAGTTCCATGGCTTGGACCACGCCTACAACCATGGGGGGCACATTTAACATGGTGCTGAGATCCGGAAACCAGGGAAGGAAAGTATTCAGAGGATGCTCCTTGTCTTCTCCTCCACTCTGAGTCATAAGAAAAGGAAGGAGGCTAAGAGGATGCCTTTATTTTCGCTACATTATGTAAATCTGTAATAAATTATCATCAGCTTGTACCCGTCTGCAGTGCACTCTGAAACACTGAAACTTCGTTAAACTCAAAACTTTACGGAGAAAAGTAACTCATTTTCTTTTGCGTAGGGGCGTGGCATTTTTACTAAACCTTTGTAAGTGGTGTAAGATCAATCCAGCTCTTTTAGCAATCATATCAGAAAAGCCCAGGAAAAACAGTTCTCCATAATTAAAAAAAGAAACTTTCAGGGGAACCATCTGAGGATCCCCCTTATTTGGGCTCCCCTCACATTCCCTTCTCATTACAATACCTTAGGCAAATAAAGGGAATCTTAGGCCGATTTTCTAAAAACCCTGTATAGAGAAGCTTTCCAAAATTTAATCAGGTGTTCCACCTCACATGGTGTGATGTTATGCTGCTTGTAAACCAAACCTGCAGCTAAAAAGCAGGTAGTTCTGCAAGCAGCAGACAATTTCGGAGATGAGATTCTCTCCTATAATACACCAAAAGGGAAGAAGGCAGAAAGGGAAAGAAAAAGAAATAACCAAAAACACCATTCCCAATAGAGAGGGAAGCAGTTCCGGTAAACAGCCCTAACTAAAACCACAGTGGCTCTGGAAATGAATGGAAAAGAAACCAACTTTTAAACACATTTTAAAAGTCCTATGAAAAACCAGGGCCAAACGTCTCAGTTACTCTATCTATAATGAACCAAAAGCCAGATAAGAATTCTATAGCCTTTATCGAAAGACTAAGAGAGGCACTAATAGAGCACATTTCTTTATTCCCTAATTGAGTGGAGGAGCAGCTCATCCTGAAGGAGAAGTTTAGAAAGGGACATCGCAGGGAAGACTCTAATCCTATATTTTTCTCAACCTTACTTGCAGTTAGAAAGACCTATTTACACATGCTTCCAAGGTGCTATCGTCATAGCTCTGCTAGTCAGAAAAGCCTCCAAGTTAACCCTAGAAAATAATTCAACTCTTTACAGCCCACATAGTGTGGCAGGATCACTTTCCTCTAAAGGGAACTCTTAGCTAGAAAACAGCTGGTAAAGAAGGTACATAAGGCAGGATCAGCAGTAGTCACTCTCCCCAAACACAAGCACTCAATTGGCTGAGCTGATAGCTCTTACAACAGCACATAAATTAAGCAAAAGCAAGGTAGTTAAGTAACCTCATTCCTGTCTAAGCTGTGACAAAAACACTGGAAACAGAACTGCCCAGAGGCAGAGATCACTGTGTTCAAAACATTTATGCTAACTCCAAGTATGCTTTTCTAATTTTCCATGCTTATACTGCCATTTTAAAAAGGCATTTTTTTTTTAACCACTGATGAATCTCCCATAAAGTATCACCAGGAAATTAACAGGCTATTATCCTCAGATTTTCTTACACAAGAAATAGCAGGGATGCATTGTAGGGAACATCAAAAGAAAATAAATAAGGTAGCCAAAGAAAATAAATTAGCTCATCAGGAAGCTAAGTCAGAGGCAAGGAAGTCTCAAGGCATTAACATAACTAGCAAAGTCCAAGGAAATAAACGATCTCTGTTTAACCCAGGAAATTTAGTATTAGTGAAAACTCTCCTCTCTATCCTTCCTTAAGCCAAGCTGGGAAGGGACCCTACACTGTTCTTTCAATGCTCTTGGCAGCAGAAGTTACACAAGTCAACTCGTAAATACGTCACACTGAAGTCAAAACCTAAAAGCTGAAGGAGCAACCCTTAGCAGCCCAGAGATATGACCAGAATATCAATGTGGAAAAATAGAAAATCTTAAGCTAAAAATCATAAACATTAAGTAACTAACGGTTACTCATATGACTCAGTCCCACCTTTACCTAAACAGATACTTTTTGTCATTTCTGCCCTTACCTCTCAAAGTTTGCTACCAAATATTAAAACTTCTTTTTATTGCATATTTGCAGGAAATTTTTAATTATACATGATATTGCACTTGTAACTCTGTAAATCCCAAAAAGGGAAATGTTTAACCTTGGGCAAGTAAAGTTTTAAACAATTTTTTTTTTAACTACACCACCCTTGTGGCAATTGTTATAGTCATGCTACCATTTGCAATAAAACCAAACATTGTGGCACTCACAATGTGGGATTCTGGTTGTAAAATTTTAATTTGTGCTCCTATGAGAATCTGATACTGGGGCTGATTGGACAGGAGGCCACTCAGGCAGTAATGCTTACGTGATACCTCCTGCCGTGTGTCTCCATTCCTAACAGGCCACGGATTGTTGCTGGTCTGTAGATTGGAGATTGGGGACCTCTGCTCTAGGATATATCACTTTCAGGGCTCCATCTAAAAGCCTAACTCTCCCTCCCACTTGGCAGACACCAACCTACAATTTTTGTATCTTCAGATCCACAAGATTGTTAGAAGTTCTACTTTGCCACCACCTATGACTCAACATCTAATTTACAGTACTATTTAAATTTCCCCAATTGTCCAAAAGAATGTCCTTTGTAGCTGTTTTTAAATCCATCCAATCAGGTTTCATGCACTTTGTTTCTATGCTTCTTTAGTCTCTTTTAATCTAGAACATTCTCCCTGACTTGTTATGACATTTTTTGACGTTTTTTGAATTTGTCATGCATGAAGCTCCAAAAATGAAAATTCCTAGCTTGGTGTGTACTAGGAATTGAAAGGAAGTCAGTATATCAAGTTTTTCTTGCACCACATGATATCCTCTCAGCCCCCACCTGTTCATCCAGCCATTACTGAGGTGACCAGGTCCAGACAGTTTCTCACTAGCTTCATGCAGGTACACACAGTGCCTTTCCTTCGTATCTATCTTTCCAGTACCTTTCTCTTTCTGGCACTGGGCTTCTTTGAGATGGTACAATAAGACTCCTGCAGAAATCTTCTCAGCACCCATACATCTGGAAACCAAAATTGGGAAGACTTCATACCAATAGGATAACTTTTTAACAGCTGGGGATGGCGGCAGGTGGATAAATGCTTCATTTCATCTTCTGGGCAGAGAGTACTAAAAAACATTTCATATTTGGGGGGGAAATGGTGGAAACAAGCTTTTTTGCCAGAGAAAGTCATAGAAGTTGGACCCTCATAATTGGAGCCTAAATCTCTTATTGGGCAGATCACAGTAAAGAGCCATTGCTGGTAAGTGAACTAGTAATTACCTATGGCATACTTAGTATCACAATTACTAAGAATGTCACCTGTGCTTTACTGGCAGGAAGTACTGAGAGAAGGTGAAGGACTGCAGTAGCTGTGACACTGGAATGGTAGGGGTACAATGGTAATCATAGGATTATGGAAGAACTTGGTTTGGTTTTAACTGTATTGGAATTCTTTTTACTAAAAGAAGGAATGAAAGAAAGAAAAAGTGACAGTAGTCAAAGAGTAGAAACAACCCCATTGTTCATCAACTGCTGAAAGGATAAACAAATTGTGATATCTTCATGAAATGGAATCTTATTCAACTACAAAGTAAGGAATACTGATACATGCCACAACATAAATGAACCTCAAAAACATTATATGTTGGCCGGGCACGGTGGCTCAGGACTGTAATCCCAGCCCTTTGGGAGGCTGAGGCAGTTGAATCACGAGGTGAGGAGATTGAGACCATCCTGGCTAACATGGTGAAACCTGTCTCTACTAAAAATACAAAAAATTAGCTGGGCAAGGTGGCTTGCACCTGTAGTCCCAGCTACTCAGGAGGCTGAGGCAGGAGAATCGCTTGAACCTGGGAGGCGGAGGTTGCAGTGAGTCGAGATCGTGCCACTGCATTCCAGCCTGGGCAACAGAGTGGGACTCCATCTCAAAAAAATGTATGTGTTTAATGTTTTAAGTGAAAAAAAAAAAGCCAGAAACAAAAAGCCATATTATATGATTTTCTTTACATAAAATGTCCAGTATATGCAAATTATAGAGATAGAAGAACAGGTGAAGGATCGTCAGTGGCTTGAGAGTGGCTGCTTAGCTTAGTCTAATTTCAGGGAGAAGGAGTGGAGTGTGAACTGCATTGCAGAGTTGCTTTTTGAGGTAAGAGGGTGGCCTTTTGTATACCCATGTCAGCAGGTGATTGACTGCATTCTGCCTACTGGATTGTAACCGAGCTTGTATGATGACAATCATGAGAGAGTTGTTTTCCTTATTTTCCTTTCTTTCTCCATGCATTCTTGCTTTCACATGGTCATTTCGGTAGAGGGGAGTCACTAGTAATTAGTTAATGTCATATCTTAACTCCTGGAGGCTACCCTCAGGGTTAATGAACTTGTTTTTCTCTTAAAGAACAATGGTCTGTGGTTCTGGGTATGGTGGCTCATGCCTCTAATCCCAGGGCTTTAGCAGGCCAAGGCAGAAGAGTCGCTTGAGCTCAGGAGTTTGAGGTTGCAGACAGCCATGATCACACCACTTCATCCCAGCCAGGACCACAGAGCCAGAGCTTGTCTCAAAAATCATAGGCAACACAAACAAATGAAAACACACCCCATGCTCATGAATGGGTAAAATAAATATTATGAAAATGACCATACTGCCCAAAGAGATCTACGGTTTCAATGCAATTCCCATCAAAATACCATCATCATTCTTCACAGAAGTGAAAAAAAAAATCCTAAAATTTAATACAAAACCAAAAAGGAGCCCAAATAGTCAAAGCAATAACTAAGCAGAAAGAACAAATCTGGAGGTATCACATTACCCAACTTCAAATTATACTACACACCTATAGTTACCAAAGCAGCAGGTACTGGTGTAAAAGTAGGCATGTGGACCAATGGAACAGAATATAGAGGCCAGAAATAAAGCCAAATACAGCCAATGAATCTTCAACAAAGCATACAGAAACATAAAATGGGTGTTTCATTCTATTCTCACACTTATATAAATACCTGAAAATGAATAATTTATTAAGAAAAGAGGCTTAATTGGCCAAAAATTCCACAGGCTAATTTATAGGAAGAATGGTTGGGGGGCCTCATGAAACTTACAATTATGGCAGAAGGCATAGGGGCTGCTGGCACGTTTTATATGTTAGGAGTAAGACAGAGCAAAGAAGGAAGTGCTACACAGTTTTAAACAACCAGATCTTTGAGGATTCACTCACTGTCACAAGAACAGCACGGGGAAATCACCCCCATGATCCAATCACCTTCCTCCAGGCCCTTCCTCCAACATTGAAGATTACAATTTGATGTGACATTTAAACAGGGAAACAGACCCAAACCATTCATTTTATCCTTGGCCCTTCCCAAGTCTCATGTCTTTCTCACATTGCAAAATATAATCATGCCTTCCCAACAGTCCCCCAAAGTCTTAACTCATTTCAGCATTAACTCAAATGCCCAAAGTCCAAAAAGTCTCATCTGAGACAAAGCAAATCCCTTCAACCTAAGAGCCTGTAAAATCAAAAACAAGTTAATTACTTCCAAGACACAATGGAGGTATACGCAATGGGTAAATACTCCCTTTCCAAAAGGGAATAAATCTGCCAAAACAAAGGGACTACAGGCCTCTGAAATCTGAAACCCAGCAGGGTAGTCATTAAATCTTAAAGCTCCAAAATATCCGTGTCTCATACCCAGACCACACTGATGTGAAGAATAGGCTCCCAAGGCCTTGGGCATCTCTGCCCATGTGGCTCTGCAAGTTATACCTCCTGTGAGTGCTTTCACAGGCTAGCATTGAGTGCCTGCAGCTTTTCCAGGCACATGATGCAAGCTGCCAGTGGATCTACCATTCTTGGATCTGGAGGATTGTGGCCCTCTTGTCACAGCTCCACTAGTCAGTGCCCTAGTGGGGACTTGTGTTTGGGCTTCAACCCCACATTTTCCCTGTGCACTTCTGTAGTAGAGGTTATCCATGAGGGCTCTACCCCTGCAGCAGATTTGTGTCTGGACATCCAGGCATTTTCATACATCCTCTGAAATCTAGGCAGAGGCTCCCAAGCCTCAGCTTTTGCCCTCAGTGCACCCATAGGTTTAACAACACATGGAAGTTGTCAAGACTTATGGCTTGCACCCTCTGGAGTAGCAGCCTGAGACGTATTTGGCACCCTTTTAGCCACGGCTAGAGTTTGAGCAGCTGGAATGCAGGGAGAAGTGTCCCAAGATTGTGCAATGCAGCAGGGCCCTGGGCCCACCGTACAGAACCATTCTTTCTTCCTAGGCTTGTGGGCCTATGATGGGAGGGTCTGCCATGAAAGTCAACATTTGTTGTCTTGACTCCTCTTTACTTATGTAAATCTTTACAGCAAACTTGAATTCCTTCCCAGAAAATGAGGGGTTTTTTTCTACCACATGATCACGCTACAAATTTTCCAAACTTTTATGTTCTGCTTCCCTTTTAAATATAAGTTCCAGCTTCATATTATCTCTTTGCTTATGCACATGACCATACATTGTTAGAAGTTGGCAGGCTACTCTTGAATGCTTTGCTGCTTAGAAATGTCTTCTGCCAGATGCTATTAATGACCTCTCTCAAGTTTGAAGTTCCACAGATCTGTAGAGCAGGAGAAAAATGCAATTAGTCTCTTTGCTAAAGTAGGGCAAGAGCGACCTTTACTCCAGCTCCCAACAAGTTCTTCATCTCCACCTGAGACCTCCTCAGCCTGGACTTCACTGTCCATATCACTATCAGCATTTTGGTCACAACCATTCCACAAGTCTCTGGGAGGTTCAAAACTTTATCTTCTTGACTTCTTCTAGCCCTCCAAACTGTTCCAACCACTACCCATTACCCAGTTCCAAAGTTGGCCCCTTATTTTCAGTTATTTTCCTAGAAATGCTCCACTCCTGGCACCAATTTTTGGTATTAGTTCATTCTCACACTACTGTAAAGAAATACCAGAAACTGGGTAATTTATAAAGAAAAGATGTATAATTAGTTAATGATTCCACAGGTTGTACAAGAAGTGTGGCTAGGGAGGCCTCAGGAAACTTACATAGTGGAAGGTGAAGGAGAAACTGGCATGTCTTAACAGGCATGGCTGGAGTAGGTTGAAGAGAGTAAATCAGGGGATGCTACACTTTTAAACAACATGATCTCATGAGGACTGACTCACTATCATGAGAAATGCAAGGGGAAAATTCACCCCCATGTTCAAATCACCTCCCACCGGGTCCCTCCTCCAACATTGAGGATTGCAATTTGATGTGAGATCTGGGAGGGACACAGACCCAAACCATATCAGTGGGGGAAGAAAACCATACTCAGTAAATGGTGCTGGGAACATGGACAAGCCACATGTGGAAGAATGAAACTGAATTCTCGTCTGTCATCATATACAAAAATCAACTCAAGGTGGATCAAAGTCTTAAATCTAAGATGTGAAGCCATTAAAATTCAACAAGATAACATTGGAAAAACTCTTCTAGACATTGGCTTAAGCAAAGAATTCATGACTAAGAACCCAAAAGCAAACGCAACAAAAATAAATAAATGAGACCCAATTAAACTAAAAACCTTCTGTACAGTAAAAGAAATGATCAGCAGAGTAAACATGCCACTCACACAGTGGGAAAAATATTCACAAACTGCATCGACAAAAGATGCATCCAGAATCTACAAGGAGCTCAAATGAAGCAAAAAAAAACCCAAACAATGTCATCAAAAAATGGGCTAAAAACGTGAATAGAGAATTCTCAAAAGTAGATATAGAAATGGCCAAAAAAAGAAAAAAATGAAAAAAATCTCAACATCAGTAATAATTAGGGAAATGCAAATCAAAACCACAATGTGATACCACCTCACTCCTGCAAGAATATCATTAAAACATCATTAAAACACACACACACACACACACACACACACACACACACACACACACACA